CCTGCTTCCCACGTGAGGCCCAGCTATGCTGGGCAAGGCCCAATGGCCATCCAGCATCGTTCCTAGTGACAATGGATAGTCACTGGGCCAGGGAGAGCATCAGGGCTTACCAGAGGGGGGGGCAAGTGGGGCAATTTGCCCCAGGCCCCCACAAGAGTTTTTCAGGGCCCCTGGAGCGGGGTCCTTCACTTGCTCTGGGGGCCCCAGAAAACTCTCGCAGGGCCCGGGCTCCTGGAGCTTCTTCCGCTCTGGGTCTTCGGCGGCAGGGGGTCCTTTCGCTCCGGAACCCGCTACCGAAGTGCCCCGAAGACCTGCGGTGGGGGGTCCTTCCGCCCCGGGGCCTGCCGCCGAAGATCCCAGGCCCCCTGAATACTCTGGCTGGCCCTGGAGAGCATGAGAATGAGTTGATAGCCTGGGGCTTGGAGCAGGCACCTATACCCAGTGGAACAGCTCCAACAGCTGCCAGGGCTCCCTCCTGCAAAAGGGGAGACCCAGGTCAAGTCCCTCCTTCCCCTCAGCACGGGAGAATTGAACCAAGGGCTGCCCTGTCCCAGGGAAGTGCCGTGACCGCTGGGCTAAAGGTGAGACTGGAGGGGGGCACTCTGCTAGGCCTGGATAAAGGCCTGAACCAATCCAGTCTGGGTCACATGTTTGGCTTCACCAGAAATGGATTGTTTTGCGTTGCAGAAAATTTTCAAAATGTTGGGATTTGGTTCAGACCAAATCTGTCAGCGACCCGAACAGGCAGCTGTTCACCCAGCCCACAGCTGCACCAGCCCCTGGTACCACATGAAGACTGGGCAGATCTGGCTGGGCAGAGGGGTCTGGCTTTAGGCTGTGCAGGGGGCCCTGGGCTGGGTTGCACCGGGCTGGCTGTGCAAGGGATCTGGGCTGGGCCGGCTGGGCAGAGGGCTATGCCCTGGGCGGGGGTAGCTGTTCAGAGCACTCTGGGCCAGGCAAGCTGGCTGTGGAGGTGAGCATGGTTTTAGAGGTAGGCTTGCCAGGCGTCTGGTTTTTGCCTGGAATGCCCGGTCAAAAAGGGAACCTGGTGGCTCCAGTCGGCACTGCTGACCAGGCTGTTAAAAGTCCAGGTGGCAGCACAGTGGGGCCTGGGGCTAAGGTGGGCTCCCTGCCTGTCCTGGCTCTGCATGGCTCCCAGAAGCAGCCGCTAGATCCTTGCAGCCCCAGGCGCATGGGTGGCCAGGGAGGCTCCGCGCACTGCCCCCACCCCGAGTGCCAGCTCCGCAGCTCCCATTGGCTGGGAACCGATGGGCGCTGTGGGGGTGGTGCCTGCAAGCACAAGGGCAGCGCACGGAGTCTCTCTAGTCATCTAGGGGCTGCAGGGACCTGGCGGCCACTTCCTGGGAGCCATGGTAAGCACCACCAGGACCCTGAACCATCTCCCGCACCCCATCCCCCTGCTCCAGTCCAGTGAAAGTGAGTGAGGGTGGGGGAGAGTGAGTGATGGAGGGAGGAGGGATGGAGCAAGCAGGGGCAGGGCCTCGGAGAAGGGTGGGGCAGGGGTGGGGTCTCGAGGAAGGGGGTGAGGAAGGGGTGTTCGGTTTTGTGCGATTGGAAAGTTGGCAACCCTACTTGGAGGGAGGGGGAGAATCCAATGTGATGCTGGTTTTGGGAGGGGTGAATTCCGGTGTGATGCTGGTGTGGGTGTGGGTGTGAAACTGACATCTCATAGACTCTAAGGGCTCAGTGAACCATCATGTTCATCTAGTTCTGACCTCCTGCACATCAAAGGCCACAGAACCTCACCCACCCACTCCAGTAACAGACCCCCGACCTCTGGCTGAGTTACTGACATCCTCAAATGTTGGTTTAAAGACTTCAAGTTGCAGAGAATCCACCCTTTGCTCTAGTTCAAAACAGCAAGTGACCCGTGCCCCATGCTGCAGAGGAAGGGGAAAATGCCCCAGGGTCTCTGTAAATCTGACCAAGGGGAAAATTCCTTCCTGGTGTCAGATATAGCGATCGGTTAGACCCTGAGCATGTGGGTGAGACCCACCAGCCAGACCCCTGGGAAAGAATTCTCTGTCGTAACTCAGCCCTCCCCACCTAGTGCCCAGTCACTGGCCGCTGAGGGTATTGGGCCATATGCCATTGCAGGTAGTCCCATCATAACATCCCCTCCAGACACTTACAAAGCTCAGACACTGCTCCCCTTGGGAGGCTGTTCCAGAGCTTCACTGCTCTGATGGTTAGAAACCTTTGCCTAATTTCAAGGCTAACTTTGTTGATGGTCAGGAGAGCTGGGGGTGCTGTTGCACCCCCTGGCTTGAAGGAGTAATAACAACCGAAATACATGGTTTCTGCCTTCAGCACCCCCACTGAAAAAGTTTCTCCAGCACCCCTGCAAAGAGTTGGCTTTCTTTGCTGATCCATCCCTTGTAGGCTTTCTGCTTTCTCTCACTAGCCTGTTTGAGATGCTTGTTCATCCAGCTTGGCCTGCAACCCTCCCTTGCTTGGGATGCCGACTTTACATAGCTTTGACTTAAATTAATTCCAAACCTCCTCCACATTCAGATCCTTGAGTTCCTCAGGCCAGCCCACTTCCATAATAAGTCCCTTAATTTTGTAAAGTTTGCCCTTTGGAAATCAAGGACCCCAGTTGCAGACCTATTTTTGCTTATCCTTCTGTTTAGTTTAAACTGAATTAACTCATGCTCCCTCGAACAAAGGTTGTCCTCTACAACCAGTTCTTCCATGCGGTTCTTGCTTCTTACCAGCACTAGATCTAAAATGGCATCACTTCTTGTTGGTTCAGCGACTATTTGGTGAAGAAATCTGTCATCTATCACACCAGGGACATCTGGGCCCTACTATTATTAGTAGCACTTGTCCTCCCTCCTACATCTGGGAAGATAAAGTCTCCCATAATCACATAATTCCCAGTAGTATTTCTTTCATTAAAAACCTTAAAGAGGTCTCTATCCCTATCCAGAGCAGATCCTCGGGGGCCGGAGCACACCCCGAGCATTGCCCCAGGGGAGTCTCTGTTACCTTTCTTCCCCAAAGTGATTTTGACCCAAACAGATTCCCTTTTATCCATTCCATCACCTCTAATTTCTTTACAATCTACCTCGTCATTAACATACAATGCTGCTCCACCACCTTTACCTTTATTTCTGTCTTTGAAGAGCACAGAGCCTTCAATACCCACGCTCCTGCCATAACCGCTCTACCACCATGTTTCTGTTATCCCTGTAATAGCTGGTTTCACTTCCTGCACCAGCCATTCTAGCTCCTCCGTTTTGTGACCCAGGCTCCTTGCATTGGTGTACAGACATCTTAGCTGTTTCTTCTTGGCTTGGCACAGATTCCTCGCCCATTAGGTACAGTCATTATACTACCAGCGTCACCTAAGCCTGTTAGTGTCATTGGTACTGGCTCCGTCTTTCCTCTTGTTGTCCATTCTCCTACCCTCTGCTGTTCCTGTCTCCATTGCTCTATCCTCTTTTACTTGATTTTCCACCTGCTCAGTGTTAGAATCAGGCATGGAGATTACATGAGCATTGCCCAACCGTCTCCCCCAAGTTCCTAGTTTAAAGCTCTTTTAATGAGTTGTGCCAACCTCCAGCCCAAAAGTCTATTTCCCTCCCTACTCAGGTGGAGTCCATCCCATGAGAACAGGCCTCCCTCCGTGAATTGCCTCCCAGTGGTCAAACATCCCAAAGCCCTCCTTATAGCATCATAGCCTGAGCCATCTGCTGATGATCATAATCTTGTCTTGCCTTTGCTCTACTCCTCTAGGGTCAGGCAGAATCCCATGGAAGATCCCCTGAGCCTCCATTCTTTAAGTGTCTTCCCCAGCCTGGTATACTCTCTCTTGAATCTAGCTGTATCATTTGTTCCCACGTGAAGGACAGTCAGTGGGTTCTTTCCTGCTCCCATCCAGGATCCTCTTCAGCCTCAGGTCCCCATCCCATATCTTAGCTCCCGGCAGACAGGACCCCCTGCTGTTCTCCAGATCAGCTCTGGTGACAGGCCCGTCTGTTCTTCTTAGTAGGGAATCCCCAGTCACGGTGACCTGCCTTTTCCTAGAGATGGTGCAATTCTCCACCCTCCTGCCGTCTCTTCTTTCTGGCTGTGTCTTCTTGTCTTCTGCTCTCACTTGCGGTCCTCAGCACATCGTCCTCTCCTGTCCTCCTGGGGCTCCGAACTGTGGATCTCCGTTGCCTCTTCCCCTCTTCTGGTAGAACTAGCCGCTCTTCTCTTCTTCCTCACCCTCCCACCTTCTGTCACTGCCTGCTGTGCCCCTTCCTTTTCCAGTTCAGCAAACCTCTTCCTCAGCTCTACCTCTACTCTTCACTAGCCAGGTCTTTTCTTCTGCCTGGATCTCATGTTTCCACTGTGCACTTACGCAACATGGCAGGCTAACCTCGCAGCTCTCCAGTCCAGCCTGCATCTGCAAGTCTGGAGGTTTCCCTTCAGCCACTTCCCTCCATCAGCCGCTCAAATCCCCTTTGAAACGCAACCAGACTTTCTAGCTGCATGTCCAGACCTTGGGTCGTCTCTTCGATCAGCTGTATCAGGCAGCACTTCATCCAAAGGCAGCACCTTTCCGGTTCCCTCTCCAGAATAACATACATCCTGCAGCTTCCACATCCAGCCACCTTCATCGTCTCTGCTGTTCCTTGGGTCACTTGTACTGCTGCCTCTGGAGGAGTCAGCGCCTTCTCGCCTAAGCTCCTGTCACTGCCCCGAAGGAACAGGGGCTTGCCTCCCTTCTCCCACACACCTCCATTCAAACTCCCCTGTTTTCAGCTCTGGCTGCAGTGCCACTGCTCCGGAGTCTCCGTGCAATGCTGGCTTTGGGGTGAATCCCACATTGTGGGTGTCCGGTGTGAATCCCTGGGCCATGAATTCTGAGCTCTTCTGGTTTTTCTCTTGCAGCCCATGCCGTTGTCTGTTGGGTTTGAAGATGCGCTCGGCCCCATCCCCTCGGCTGCCCTGAAAGAGCTGGACTGAAGCATGTGATCGCTGGCACCATGGAGGTGAGGGCTCTTCCATCCCGCTGGGATCCCATTTCCTAGCCTTGGGCCTGGAGGCAGCGGCTGGGGGAGAGGGAGGCCCCCTGGAAAGGAGAACTGATGAGGGTGTAAACACAGACAGTGGGATTCCCTCACCCCGGCCAGGCAGGGGATCGGAGTTGCTGAGTTTCATGGAGCCATAGGATCTGCGCTAGGCCCCAGCTTTCAACACTGTCCAGTCCTGGAGGAACCCGTCAGTGGGCCAGAGCCCTAAGGGGTCCAATGCTTCCTTCAGGGGAGGCCACGCGGCCTCAGTGCTTGAGCCTCGGGGCTCCAGCCGTCCTGCGTCAGTCCCTGAGCTGTGCCCAGTGAGTCCAGCTGAGGGACTCCAGGTCAGAGGCATCCTCCAGGTCAAACGTGCTCAGAAAATATTTACAGTGGCACCAGGCAGCGTTTTCAAACCAGGCAACGGTTTATTGTCACCTGGCACACAGCATTGGAGGGCTCAGGATAGCACAGAGACAGAGGTTAAGACACAGTCCATCAGGTGAGAGCAGCCAACCGCTTCCAGAGGCCCACACTTTGTCCCCTGCTGGTCACCTCTCGTCCTTTGTCTCCAGGCAGGGCCACGCTGAGTTCACAGCCCCACCTGCCCGCAGTGCTTGGGGCTTCCTTTGTTTCTTTGGACCCTCTGTTGAGCTGGGTTGGTTTCAACCAGTTCCTTAATTACCCTATTCGCTGCAGTCCAGAGAGCAAGGTGTCACCCACACCATGTGTCCTGCACTGCCCCCTTTTCCCGCCACTGAATAGCAATGCAAACTACAGAGGGAAACTGAGGCACACATAGGCTTCATGAAAATATTACAGAAAATTCCCACTTCACCATATTGGACCCCTGGGTTAAAGGACCCATTCAGGGAGATTAGGGCATTGCTTTGCATCAGTCGTCACTGCGTGGAGATGCTACCAGGGTGGCAATGGAGAGGCCACCAGAGCAGTGTCATTCTGGGGGCCCCTCCAGACAGTGCAGCTGTGATGGTCTCACTTGGGGCAGCTTCCCCCTCTCACAGCGATGGGCTCAGGCTCTCTGCAGACTTAGGCACTGGTCACTTTAGGTCCAAAATCGCAACTTTTTCCCTGACCTGGGAAATCCATTTCCAGCCCATCTCTCACCCAATCTCCAACTATTGGGAGTTAGGAGAGGGCCTTTCCTGGGTGCCCTTTATTCCTCGCTTGTCTTCCACCTCCAGTGCTCCCCTTCCCTCTTGTCCCCTGCAGGAGGTGGACTCCCGGTCGCCGTCCCCACACAAGGCAGTGGACTCCAGCCCCGCCAGCTGCGCAGCCCTGCCGTCTCCCCCACTCCAGCAGGAGCCTCCGCCGTCCCCCCTGCCCGAGGAGCTGTCCCCCGGCGAGGGCGACAACTCAGCCTTCAACGGAGAGCTGGACCTGCAGCGCTACTTCAATGGGCCGGGGCCCGCGCTGGGGGCAGGCGGGGGGCGCAAAGCCCGGCCCTACCCCTGCGCCGTCTGTGGCAAGCGCTTCCGCTTCAACAGCATCCTAGCACTCCACACGCGGATTCATGCCAGCGAGACCCCCTTTACCTGCCCCTACTGTGGGCACCGCGCTGCCCAGCGCGGCCTCCTGCGGCTCCATCTCCGCTCCCACCGCCCTGAGGCCTGCGCCCGCCTCAGCCACCAGAGCCGCCTGCTGCTGGAGCTGGAGGAGCGGGCGCTGCTGCGACGGGGCCCGCCAGCCGCCAGCGAGGGGGAGGAAGAAGAGGAGGAAGAGGAGGAGGAGGAGCCCCCCCCGCTGCCTATCCCCCCACCAGCCCCGCCCCCTGCCCCCCCGTCACCCCCACCGCCGCTGCCTCCCCCCAGCTTCCGCTGCCCCTTCTGCAAAGGCAAGTTCCGGACGGTGGGTGAGCGGGAGCGACACCTGCGGATCCTGCACCAGCCCTACAAGTGTGGGCAGTGCCCCTTTGCCGCTGCCCAGGAGGTGGAGCTGCAGCGGCACAGCCGGGAGGCCCACGCCCCCCCGGCGCCCCCAGCCCCTGCGGCGCCGCCCCCGCCGAGTTCCGCTGCCAGGTGTGCGGCCAGGCCTTCACCCAGTCCTGGTTCCTCAAGGGGCACATGCGCAAACACAAGGACTCCTTCGACCACAAGTGCCAGGTCTGCGGGCGCTGCTTCAAGGAGCCCTGGTTCCTCAAGAACCACATGAAGGTGCATCTCAGCAAGCTGGGGCTGAAGGGGGAGCGGGGTGCGGCCGTGCCGGCGGCCGGCGGGAAGCCCAAGGCGCCTCGGGGGCTGCTGCTGGGCTACGAGGCACTGTACCCTGCCTTCCTGCCGCCCCCGGACAAGGCCGAGCAAGGCTCCTTCCTGGGCTACTTGGAGCTGCGCCCGCCGGGCGATGCCAGCTGCGCCGAGCGGCTCCAGGCCACGGCCCGCGCAGTGGAGAGCGGGCAGGAGGCGGTTGCCCAGCTGTGGGGCGAGCGCCGGCGGCACAATGGGGGTGAGGCGGCCAGGGAGGAGGGTGGCGCCGGCGTGGGACAGCACCGCTGCCCCGACTGTGCCCGGGCCTTCGCCACGTACCAGCAGATGGCCCTGCACAGCCGCAGCCACCGGCCCCAGGATGGTGACTGGGCCAGGGGACGGGCCCTGGGGGCGCTGGCCTCACTCCATGCGGCAGCGGGACACGGGCTGCCCACGGACGGCGGGGGTGGCTCCAACACAGGCACCGGCTGGGGCACGGCCCTACCCAGCCCGGGGATACAGGGTGAGTATAGCTCCCCACCCTCACCACCCTCCTTACCCCACCTACATATCCCCAGCACCACGGCCCTGCCCAGCCCAGGGATACAGGGTGAATACAGCCCCCACAGTGCCCCCCACCACAACACCCCCCCTTATCCCACCTCTATATCCCTGGCACCATAGCCCTGCCCAGCCCAGGGATACAGGGTGACTACGGACCCCCCAGCTCCCACCCATATTCTGCGTCCCCCCCAGCCGCATGCATCCTGAGGCACCCCCCACCTCCTCATGTCCCCCCAGCCCCAGAGGCCTGCATTCCCTGCCCCTCCCCCGAGCTCCCATCTCCTGGGCTCACACTGTCCCTCCTGTCTGTGCAGAGGAAAAGGGGCTGCGCAGCGGTGCCCTGCGTCCGGATGGGAGCCGTGGCACGTCAGGCAAAGACTGTCCTTACTGCGGGAAAACCTTCCGCTCCTCCCACCATCTCAAGGTGCATCTGCGCGTCCACACAGGTGAGCTGGGTGCTGGGGGGCCTGCAGGACAGAGCCCTCCCCAGGCTCTCTACGGCCCCTCTGGCTGGAGGGGAGAGGCAGAGGGGAGCTCTTGCAGTGCAGGGCACCTCAGGAGCTGCACTCAGACTGGCAGCCCCACAGCACCAGCCTCCACCAACCGTGCTGCCGGTGGGACTGCCTGTGCTGGCAGCAGCAGTAGGCTATTACCTTCCCTGTGCCAAAGGGTTTCCTGAGACTCCCTAGGAGTGGGTTCCACCTTAAAGGTGGTTGCATCTGAGCAGGTCTCCAGATCACAAATCCAGTGTCACATGGAGTGGACTTAGGGTGGGGCAGTGGGCTGGGCTGGGCAGGGCAGGTGGTGCTGGAGGCTGCGGTAGAATAGGTATCCCTGAGTGGGTGTCTGCGTCCTGGCCCACGCCGCAGGCTGGGCTGGATGGTCCTGACGGGCTCGCCTGGCCAGAGTGCCTGGCATGAGCTGGCTGCGAGGGCGCGACTGATATTTTAGTTGCATCAAAGAAAGTGGGTTTTGTGTGAAAACAAACATTTCACCCTAACATGGACTTTGTTTTAGAATTTTCCAGGTTTGTTTAAAACCAAAAAATGGTGGGTTTCCAGTGTTCCTCACTTACTCCCCAAATTATTAGGGGCAAAACTGGAAAAAGGGGAGATGGGTGCGGAAGCTGTTTGGTAAAAAGTGCCATGCCGGAGTCTGAAATGGGGTCTGCTGGAAACGCTGCAAGGGAGCTAGGCTGACGTGCCTGGGTGTGTCTGTCTGTCTGCATCAGTGTCTGTGGCTGAGTCTCTGCATCCGTCTGTCCTGCTGGCACAGGGGAGTGAAGTGGTGTGATCTCTGCTGGCATGAGCCCAGAGGGTACATGAAGTTAAACCAGCAAAGCTATCGTCTTACCAATAGTGCTTGGTTTGTGTGGGGGTGTGTGTGTAGTGTGCGTGTGTGTGTGTGTGTTAAGTGTGTGTGCATGTGAGTATTGTGTGTAGTGTGTGCTGTGTGTAGTGTGTGTGTGTGTAGTATGCATGTGTGTAAGTGCATGTGCGTGTTGTGTAGTGTGCATGTATGTGTAGTGTGTGTAGTGTGCGTGTGTAAGTGTGTGTGTGTGTAGTATGCGTGTGTGTAAGTGTGCATGTGGGTGGGTGGGTGTAGTGTGCATGTGGGTATGGGTGTTAAGTGTGTGTGGGTGTGTGGAATAAACTAGCCTGATACTTGGCCTGTCTATGTGTCCATCTGTGTCTCCATGTTTGTCTGTGTCCCTCTTTCTCCGCGTCTATCTCTGTCTGGGGTCCCCAGCGTGGGTCTGATGTCTCCCCTCTCCTCCGGCAGGCGAGCGCCCGTACAAGTGCCCACACTGCGACTACGCTGGCACCCAGTCCGGCTCTCTCAAGTACCACCTGCAGCGCCACCACCGTGAGCAGAAGAACAGTGCTGGCGCAGGCGCGGCCGGGGCCTTGGAGCCACGGGGCCGCACCACTCCCAGTGCCCCCGCCAAGCCGCCCACCTTCCCGCCGGAGCTGCTGCTGCAGGCAGCCGAGAAGTACCGCGGGGCTTTCCTGCCGCAGGCCTGGGGCACGGCCAGCCATGAGCCCCCGGCCCGGCCATCCCGCCGCAAGCCGGCCTGCACTGGCCGAGCCCTGCGCAATGGCCGGGCCGACTTTGAGCCGCTGGACCTGTCGCTGCGGCCGGCGCTAGAGGGGGTGCCACCTGGTGAGCTCACCCTGCACCGATGTCTCTTCTGCCCCTTTGCCACCTCCGCTTCTGAGCTCATGGCTCTGCACCTGCAGGTCCACCACAGCCGCAAGGCCCGGGGGCGCCGCCCTGTCACGGCCCCCCCCGCACGGCCCCATGCCTGCCTGGGGCAGGACGGGGAGCAGCCCCCACCACACCCCCAGGATGAGGGGCCTGGAGTTGGGGAGGAGCCCCCCACTGCCGTGGCCCACATGTCCCAACAGCCCCCCGGAGCTCCCATGGACACGGAGCCGAGTGAGAGGCAAGGGGAACTGGAGCTGGTGCTGGCTTGAGGCAGCAGAGCAGCCAGCTGGGGGCCCTGCTCTCCCCACGAGGCCTGGAGACCCCAGTGTCTGGGAGGGGCAGGGACATGACCCCCCAAGTCCTCCCACTAGTGGGGCAAGGTGGACGCAGGGGCCTGTAGTGTAGACATGAAACACTAACACTGGGCGGGAGAACTCGCTAGAAAGTAGACTCATAGGGACAGTGAGCCAGCAGGGGAGGGAAGCCGCGAGGGGGCAGAGAGTTGGGGGACAGAGAGCCACTGATGGGGGATATGCCTGGTGAGGGCAGAGAACCATGGGGAGTGGACAGCCCCTGCTGCCCTGCACCCGCTCCAGCCCCACTGGCTGGCAGGGGGCACTCTGGGTGTAGTGGGGTGCTCTGGCTGGCCGGGGGCTGAGTCAGAGTGCCCTGGCTGGCAGGGGCCGGTGGCTGGCAGGGGGCTGTGGTGGGGTGCTCTGGCTAGCGGGGCGCTCTCCCCTGGGGTTGTGGTGGTAGTTTCCTAGTGTCTGTAGACGTCTGCGTTGTTGATTCCAGTGTTGTCGTGCTAACAGAGGCCCTGGCGGAGGCTGTGGGTCGATGCGGCTCTGGGACACGGAGTGCTGCCCACGAAGCGGGCCGAGCAGGGGCAGCCGTGTCCTGGGGAGGGCCATGTCCATGGAAGGGTCCCTGGGTGGGTGAGTGTCCACACCCTGGCCTTGTCTCCATGGGGACTCATGCTGTAGCGTGGTCTCCGTGGTGATCGTTGTGTGGCCTCCCTCCTGTGGCCGCCGGTGCTCGGCGCTGTGGCCTCGTCTCCATGGTGATCGGTGCCATGGCCTTGGCCCCGTGGCGATGGTTGCTGTGGCAGCTGGACGATCCGTAGAGTTCTCTATTTTTTTTATTCTTTTCTTGTAGAAAATTCGAAACAGGAAATAAAAAGAAAAATGAAGGAATGGACTTGCTCTCTGGCCCCCCTGGGAGGCTGGCATGTGTATTTGATGGGAAACTCCCCCACAGGCCCCAGTCTGGTGCAGAATAGCCCCCCAACCTGGGACCAGTCCCCCCTCGAGCTTCCTGGGGTCAGCTTCTCCCACGGGCTCTCCCAACCCTGGGGATGTAGGCCAGTCAGCTGAGCCCCTGGCAGCCAGGCTGCAGGGCTGGCTCCCCCCACATCCACAGCCCATCAGCTCTAAGCTGCACCCAACCCACCCATCCTGAGACTGTCCCCACCTCCCAGGGGTGTCCCCCTCCACACACACCCATCTACATCACCCACACTCGCCCCCAGCCACATCACCTCCCAGCCACGTCAGTCATCCACAACCACAGCCACCTCACTTTCCTCTCTACTCCCAGCCCCCAGCCACGTCACCCCCCAATACACCGCCAGCCATATCACACCCACACACGCCCACAGCCATGTCACCTCCCTGCCACATCAGTTATCCACACACTCCCCAGCCCCGTCAGTCGTCCACACACACACAGCCATATCACCCTCCCAGACATGTCAGTCATCCACACACACCCCTGCCATATCACCCTCCCAGACATGTCAGTCATCCACCACCCCACCCACATCACTCCA